AAGCTCTTCCCTCAAGTGCAAGGTCCTGAGTTTGAACCCTGGTTCCACAGAAAACAAACAAACAAAAAAGAACAAAACCAAATTCCTAAACTTCTGGGGCCCAGGGAGGCTCTTTAAGCGTGTGGGCGCAGGTGAACTGGCAGGAGAAGCCAGGAAGCCGCGTGTAGGCAGGACTCGGCATCCGGCCGAACTGAGCGCCACCAGGAGGTGGAGAAAGACGTGCATGGCCGTGGCGGCGAGGGAGACGGCAGCGTACGCAGGTGCCTGATACCTGCGCTTGGAAACCTGCAGAACAACCTGGAAAGCGGGGCTCGCCTGGGAGCGGGCGTTGAAGGCCATCAGGAGAAGGCGCTCTCCCAGCGGTGATGGCCACTCTGGTCGCACCGTGGTGTCGCGGGTCGTGAGACATGTGAGTCAGAGGCTTTGACCTAACGAATTCCACTCGCCCTGTGACTTGGAGCAGGCGACCAAGTCCTCTGAGCCCCATGGTCCTTAAATATCCGTAGACAACTGGCAAACAAATCGCCTACTTCCAGCTCCAGGAGTGATCCTCATCTTATTCTGGGCTTTGGTAATTTAAACATTTTTGCAGAAACTCCGTACGGGGGTGTAATATATAAATGTTTCCTGAATATAAGATTTTAAGAACGGATACCTAAATACAACATTCTCACAGAAAGCATGCAGAGAAAAGTTAAATGATGAAATAGAAGTATTTTTCTAAGCTTATGCTGGGGTAGGAGACACACTGCGTGTCCTCACAGCTAGACGCAGCCTCTGCAGCAGCGGGAATCCCTCGGGACACCCTCTGCCAGCTTCCCCGGGTCGTGCCAGCCCCGTGCACTGACCCGTGTCCGGCTCCTAGGAGTGCCGTGGCCCTCCTTTCGGGGCAGGGATGCGCCTGTGGCCCTGGGGCATCTGGACCCCACTTGTCCTCTGCCTTTCTGCGGGGTAAGCGCTTCAGGATTCATGGCTTTTCCACCTGCCTCTGCGGGGCTCCCTTTCCCACCCTCCCGCTGGTCTCCTGTGGATCAGCCCGCAATTGGACCTGCACGGTTCCTTCCTGAGTGAAGGGGGCCTCCTGCGTTCCCAGCAGAAAGGAAGGTTGCTCTTGGGCTCGGCCTTCATCTGGAGACCTGGGCCTGCACTGAGGCAGGGCAGCTGGGGGGAGAGGTGGGTGCGGCGCTGCCCAATTTGTGTCCATACGCCTTACAGCAGTGGAGAATGTCAGCACCGCTGGGACGCTGAGGCGCTGCCCGCTGCCAGCACGGCCTGCTGCAGGTTCCACGGCCCTCCTCGCCAGCGCTGCTGCTGTTATGAGCACTGAGCTCTGGCCTTCATGCTGAGCTATATGCCAGCTTCCTTTTTATTTTCCGCTCTGAGATAGGGTCTCACTGCGTGGCTTGGTTGCCAGGCCATGTGTGAGCTTTGCAATCCCGCCTCAGCCTCCCAGAGTGCTGGGGTCGCAGGGGTGCACCTCCATGACCGAGTCATCTTCCATCGCGTTAGCTTGAGCACACTGTTAGCAAGCACAACTCCCAGTTGGAAACGTCCCGGATACATCCTGCGCTGTCCTCTCAGTCTTAAATCCTCTCTCCTGGGTCTGCTTCCTCCCACACTGATGACCCAGTCCGGGAGAGGACTGTGTCATCTTTACCCTTGAATTAGGAAATCAGAACACTTGTGAATCGTGAACAGGAATACCGCGCCGCGCCGGCACGCGGCCTGCGATTGACAGCAGGTGAGCACACCGTGGACCCCTTGGCGGCTGGATTCCTCGGT